ACCCAAAGGTTGGAAACAGCCCAAATGTCCATCAACAGATGAATGGATAATAAAGATGGAATATTATTCAGCCATAAAAAGGAATGCAGTGATGATACGTGCTACACGTGAATGAACCTTGAAAACATTATGGTAAGTGAAAAAAAAAAACAGTCACAAAACACCACAGTTCTTCCCCCCATCATTCATATTTTACATTTCCTCAACTTTTATTAAAGGAACTTCAATAAATACAATGTTGTTGTTGTTCACCCGACTCATAGAGACCCCTCCTTGGGTTTCTGAGGCGGTATCAGTATGGAAGTAGATTGCCCCATCTTCCTTCTGAGGAGTGGCTGGTGGGTTTGAACCGCCAGCCTTCTGGTTAGCTGTCAAGTGCCTTAGGCACTATGCTACCAGAGCTCCCAATAAATACAATAGTATGATTCTATTTGGATGAAATGTCCACAATAGGGAAATCCATGGAGACAGAAAGCAGATTAGCGATTGCCAGGAGATAGGGGATGGGGAAAATGGGGAGTGACTGGTTATTGAGCTCAGGGATTTTTTTGGACTGAAGAAAATATTGTGGAACCAGAGAGTGATGAAAATTGTACTAATTGCTACTGAATAGTACACTTCAAATGGTTCATGGTTACTTTTCTGTTACAAGAGTTTTACCTCAATTTTAAAAAAAGTTTACTGCTCTGTAGCAAATTCAGAGCCTAAAACAAAACTCCCTTCTTAAAACAAATCAGGGAAATAGCAATATTGATCTCAGAGGATTGTTGTTGGAATTAAACGGGTTACCTTGTATGTAAAGCCCTTAGGACAGCACTGCAATGTACTAAATGCTATGTAAGTGCTAATTATCATTATTATTATTATCCCCAACTGCCCTAGCTAAGACAGTTAGGAGAAACCAAGAAATTGCACGTTGGCCACAACACCTCTGTCTTGATTCTATTTACTTATCCACCGCACCAAACCAGATGGAGATGTCGGGACAGATACACAGTTGGCCCTCCACATTAGTAGGTCCCCCATCTGCAAATTGAACCAACCACAGATCTAAAATATTCATGGGGGGAAAGAAAGCAATAAAGTGGTCAATGCAATCCCTCAAAGGCTAGGCAAGACATGAAGTGCTATTTGCATTGCATTAGGTGTTATGAGTAATGTAGAGATGATTTAAAGTACACGGGAAGATGTGTGCAGTCTATATGCAAATACTACATAATTTTCTACAAGGCACTAGAGCATCTACAGATTTTGCTATCTGCAGTGGATTCTGGAAGGAGCTCTGGTGTTGTAACATTTGGCTACTAACCAAAAGGTCAATGGTTCCATCCAACCAGCTCTGCAGGGGAAAGATGTGGCAGTCTGTTTCTGTAAAGATTTACAGCTTTGGAAACCCTATGGGGGCAGTTCTAGTATGTCCTCTACGATTCAGAGTTGACCCAATAGCAGTGGGTTGGGTTGAACTGGGTTTGGGGCTCCTGGAACCAATCACCCACAGATAATGAGGGATGACTGTACCTGCAGAAACCTCCTTCAAAATCCAAATTTCTCATGCCAAGAGTTATCTAGTCTTCATACGTAAACAGATACTTCACCATCCCCTCCCTTAGCCTGCCACACTTTCCAAAACCCAGCCATAGTGATTGTGGAGCCCCACATGGTTTCTACATTGGACAACAAAAGCAGCTTTGTAGATGGGACACAGATAAGTGGAAATAAGTGATAGATTCCTACACCTACTATAAATTCCTGACTTATGTAACCAAGGATACAGAACATATCAGATGTGGGTTAGTGTCCTACTCACAGTGTGGACCACTGACTGATGCCAATCCATGAAGTGTTTGTTATTGGTCCATGCATGATAAGAGTGATACAGAAATGGAGAACAAACATATCAAAACTCCGATCGCAATTTAACATTGTTGTAACATCCAAGGTGTGATCAATGGATTCATCTTGTCAAGCAGGGTATGGACTAATTAGGTGTTCTAGGACTCCTGTGGTGAGTCATATGTAGTGCAAGTTGCATATCAGCCATGCACAGTAGGACTTGTTGTTGTTGTTGTTGTTGTTGTTATGTGCCATGGAGTCAGACCCAACGCATAGCGACCCCTCCTTGGGTTTCCGAGGCAGTATCACTATGGGAGTAGATTGCCCCATCTTCCTTCTGAGGAGTGGCTGGTGGGTTTGAACCGCCAGCCTTCTGGTTAGCAGTCAAGTGCCTTAGGCACTACGCTACCAGAGCTCCCACAGTAGGACTAAGAATGGAAAAAACAAGATGAAAGTAGTCCTTCACTGTAGATTCTGAAACACTGGCTATATTATGCTACAGCAACAACAAACTCCCAAATCTCAGTGGTTTATCACAATCAAAGTTTATTAATTGTTCATGTTAATGGTCAACGAGGATCAGAGTGGTCTCTGCTCATTACTGTCATGCAAGGAGCCAGGCTTCCCCTGGACAAATTCTCCCATGATCACCAGGACAGGAAAAGGATCATGGTGAACTGTGCACTGTGTCTTAAAGGAACATACCTCTGTTTTGCTCACATGTCATTGGCCAATCACAAGTCCATACCTAACCTCAAGAGGAGGAAAAAGTGGAAACAACCCAAAGGTCCATCAAGAGACGGACAAAATATGGTATATCTATACAATGGAATACAAATCAGCTGGTGATAAAGAGAAATGAAATACTACTACATGCCATGACATGGATGGCCCTCAAAACCATTCTTCAGAGTGAAAGAAATCAGACACAAAAGGACATATATTGTATAAAATGTCCAGACCAGGCAAATCTACAGAGACAGAAAGTAGATTACTGGTTGCCCAAGGACTGGGGAAGGGAGAAATGGGAGTGACTGTTTAATGGGTATGAGGCTTCTTTTTGGGGTGATGAGAATGTTCTAGAACTAGATGGTGATGATGGTTGCCCAGCTCTGTGAATATACTAAAACCCACCAAATTAAACTTTAAAGGGGTTAATTGTGTGGTATATGAATTTTATCTCAAGAAAGGTATTAGAAATATAAATCATCAAAAATACAATGTTGTTGTTATGTGCCCTCATGTCGGACCCAACTCATAGCAACCCCTCCTTGGGTTTCCCAGGCAGTATCACTATAGAAGTAGACTGCCCAACCTTCTTTCTGAAGAGTGGCTGGTGGATTTGAACCGCCAGCCTTCTGGTTAGCAGTCAAATGCCTTAGGCACTACACAATAGAATACAATTTATTAAAGGGGGCAGAGATGATACTACTGTCCCATGTTTCCAGAACAGGGGAGAAGTAGAAACAGAGAACACATAGCAGTAACGCTATTGCAGCCCAGGGGCAGGTACAGCCCGACTTGGCATTGCTTTTCCCTTGCTTCTAAGCTCCATCTGGTGGTGCAGCTGCCAGTGGCACTCTCCATGCAGGTAAGGTCCCCTAGATCACAGAAAGCAGATGAATTGCTGCTATATCATTGCTCTTTTATTATATCCCCATTCTGCACAACTTAAATGATCTGGGCACTTTCATTGGAGGCAGTCGTTATAAACATCAGGCTCTCCTGGTTCTGGAAGTGAATGTGGCACAATTAGGGTTACACCTCATTCACGGGCATGGGGCAGAGTCAGCACCCAGGTGTGTGTCTGGGCAGTAGCTCGACCTCTAGGACCTTCTGGTGTCCTGGAAAGCCTATGTCCCCTTGCTGACCTTTCTTGTCACCCCAGCCGGTGTTGGAGAGACATAACTGAAAACAAAATTTTCTCCCAGCCAGAAAACTTCTCCACAAAGGTAGAAGAGGATAAAAACAGTTTGATTATTGAATAAGCAATAAACAGAATGTGATGTATCACAGGCAATCTGCTAACGGGATTGCAAAGGCAGAAAGGAATCTGCCCTTTCTTGCAGCCACATAGATAGAACTCAGTTCATCCATATTTTAAGCTAAATGACAGTCAAGTAAAAAGGTCTAAAAGCACCATTTCTCACATATAATACACCCTAAGTGTATCTAGTTATTGGGGGCAGCTATCGTGTTTATAAGGAGCTCTGGTGGTGCAGCGGTTAAAGCATTGGCAGCTAACCAAAAGGGCAGTGGATGGAACCCACTGGCCACTCTGCAGAAGAAAGATGAGCCAGTCTGCTTCTATAAAGATTTACAGCCTTGGAAAACTTTTGAGGCAGTTCTACCCCATCCTGTAGGGTCACTCTCAGTCAGAATCCACTCAATGGCAGTGGTTTTGGTTTTTGGTTATCTGCGTTTGCTGATTGTCTTTATCCAAACGGAAAAATAAACCTATCTTTAAGACCGGAGATAGTTTGGTAACTTACAGTAAGGAGCAAGGTGTCCTTTGAAGTTAGTTTCCGATGGTCCCACAGAAACGGGGAGTCAGCAATGGTGTCTTTCTTGATCATTATATTTTAAAGGAATGGCTCCTAAGTCCTTGAGGAAACAGTTTTTGTGTTGTGAAACTGGTAAGAAAGTTCGACTAACCCTTTTAAAGGATTTGTGTACATTTCAGAAGAGGCAGAGACCAAGTTTTACAAAGTAAATGCTGTAAGAAAAAGGGAGGGAGGAGTCTTCCTTTTTTATCCCAAGGAAAACTATATAAACATACATATATGGGAGCTCTGGTAGCATAGTGGCTAAGACACTTGCCTGCTAACCAGACGGCTGGCGGTTCAAACCCACCAGCCACTCCTC